CGAGTCGGTGGATGAGTTCACCGGAAGAGTATCAACGATAATTAACAAATTAAAAGCTTTGGGAGAAAGTGTCAACGAAGGGTATGTTGTTAAAAAAATGCTTAGATCAGTTTCTACGAAATACATCCAATTGGCATCAACTATTGAGGAGTTTGGAGATTTGACGACCAAGTCTATCGAGGAAATTACCGATAGTTTTTCCCATTAGTTTTATTTTTTCCAAAATAAAAAACCAGAAAAATAAATGCATGAACTATTGATGATTTTCTAACATAGCAAAACTAGTTTTATATTGAATGTTATATAAAAAGGAAAATCTTAAAAAAATTATCCAACTTTGAAATAATTGATATATCAATATTAAAAATTTTGAAATTTTCAAAACAAATATAAATTCATTGATTTTGATAAAAATACTCATTTTTAAAATTTTAAATAAAAAATTAATGGATGTTAAACAATGTTAAAAAAAATTAACGGACGATCTGATATGGCGTTGACAGTTTGCTAAGTCATACACGTCGAATAAAATTTTAATAAATAAATAAAAATATATATGTTATATATTGCACTGCACATATAAAATATATAAAAATATATATATACATATGTATTAATAATTAAAATAATAATTAATATATAATAAATTACATTATAATTATAATTACATATTACATTATATATATATATATATATATCTGTATAAATATATATATATATATATATATATATGTGTAAATACATATATATACATACAACATATGTATATATGTATTTTAATATATATATATATATAGTTAATATACATTTAATTATAATTATTTTTAATGTAATGTAATTATATATATAATTTTTAATTATTATTCTAATTATGTTAATTATTATTTTAATATAATTATAATTATTTTATTTTTAATATATATGTATATATATTTGCGAATATGTATATAGTATTTTTTTTATTTTTTATTTTTTTTATTATTTTTTTTTAATAAAATGTGGTATTTTCATTCCATTAGAATCCATACAAAAAGCTTTCCAACCCTATCCAAGAGAGGTGAAAAGCCAATACAACCAAAAGAGCCCTTGTGGCCGGTAGCGTCCCGATCTAGCGGTTAATAAAAGTTTTCTAACAAGTCTCATAAAAGTATAGTAGTAGTAAGCCAAAACCAATACAATAATTACCCAAACCATCTTTGAAGGATTTCTGAAGCGAAGCCCGACCTCTGAATTCGGAAGGTTGCTGCCATGAGACGGAGAGTTTTGTCGTAAGTATGGAATGTAGAGTCGTGGTCTGAGAAAAGTCCATCATGGATTCGAACATTTCGCTCTCTCCATATAATGTATATCAAGGCATGCCAAGCAAGAGAGGCTATATGTCTACAATCCAAGGACTCCCAAGATGCATTCAGCCAAGCCAAAATATCAACCCAATTGCCTGGACTATTTTCTAGCTTAAGTCGTCTACATACTCGTCGCCACAGAGAGCTAGTAAAACTACACTCAAAGAACAAATGGTGTCTGGTTTCAGACACATCGTCACAGAGGATACAACGAGGATTTACATGCACTCCCCAAGATTCTAAGCGATCCTTCGTTGGATTTTTATTATTTTTATTATAATTAATATTTTTATTATATTTATAATCGTTTTATAATTTTAAATTTTTTATTTAATTTTTATTTGATGAGTCAATAACTTGACAAAAAGTCAATGCCACGTCAAATCATCTGTTAATTCTTTTTAACATCGTTTAACGTCAATCGTTTTTTTGTCAAAAAATTAAAAATTTAGTATTTTTTTCTTAAAACCGTTGAATTCATATTTATTTTTGAAAGTTTGAAAAGCTCAATATTACTATGTCACTTATCTCAGAGTTCGATAAATTTTTTAGAATTTTTTCTATATAAAAATTTTCTAGCTCTGTCGATCGCATCTCCATCGGGACCCTAGAACTCCACCCTGTTCTCAGCTCTTATTGGATAGGCCAGAGAAAAAACTCAAAAGTCGTCATCAAGAGGAACATGATCGTCAGAAAGAAGTAAGTGAAATTCCCTCAACCAAAGCTCTCAAAACCCTCCACCGAGCTCCACCACATCTTTGTATCAACAAACCCATGCATGTATCGCATTCCATAGAACAACATCATCATTGCCTCTTCCCAGCCTTACCCAACTACAAACACTTTGACTCTACTGTTCTAGAACCACTAAAAATAAAAATTGATTTCTAAAGGATATAATATATATCTGTTATATCTTTTAGAAACGGCCAAAAATTCAATGAAAAATAGTTTTTCCAGCGGATCTATTGCAATAGACTAGTTGAAAATTGAAATCCGTTGAAAATCTCGATAAATTTGTAATGCGATTTTTGGTTGAAATTATATCAATAGATTGGCAACAAAAATTTCTTTTGGAATCTTTCAACGGTTTATCAATAGATTATTCGTTATAAATAACAACGGATAATATCAACGAATATGGATGGTACATAAATCATTTCTCACGGATATCCATTGATAAAACTTCGTTGACATATTTCAACGGTGATTTTTCAATTGTTATCCATCAAATTTTTTCAAAAGAACATAGTTGATCAATCCGTTGGAATGTTTCAACTAATATCCGTTATAATATCAATATATATATATATAATTTAAAATATTTAATTATATTTAAATTTATAAAATTTTAAATATTTTATATTTTATAATTATATATAAAAATATTTCAAAACATAAAAACAACATAATTATATATAAAAATGGTTCGAGGTCCCGAATTAAACAAAAAACAAAAATAAAATCTAATATAAACTATCAGTGTTTTCTTTATCGGGTTTCTCTATAGGTTTCTAGCATGCAAATGCATCAATTGGATGCTAGAGCTGACTTCTAAGTTTTCCGTGACAGAAGGAATAATCAAACCTAAACATAAACCAATTACATAAACCCAAAGAACGTGTATATCATCTTAGAAATTGAATAGTTATCTCAGATTCTAACGAATCTTAAAATCGAATGATCTAGGGGCTATACTAGATCACACAGAACTGAAAACACAACTCCTCTAGAAGTATCTACACATGCGTGATGGATTTTGAATGTTTTGAAACTGATCGATTGAGATTGATGAATTGAATTAGGGTCTCCAAAACTTGAAATCGACTCACGGGAACTAGAATGCATCTTTTGTTCTCTGAAACCTCTCTATGAGTTCTGAAAGTTTGGGTTAGCTTTGGGGTGGCATTCTTAAACTTTTTTATTAAGTATGAAACCCTAAATCGAAAAAAATAATTTTTTCAAAAATTTGATCCGGTCGGTTTGGATCAGTTGTGATCTAGTCCAAAATAAATCCTCGAGTTGGTCTGGCCCAAAACGCTTTCTGGGTCGGATTGTGATGGGCTTGGTTTAGATATGATCTGATCCGGATTAGTTCGAGGCGAAATGAGTTTTTTTTGCCCATTTGTCTATTCCAAGTCCTCGTTCTAATTCGGTTCTGACCAGATCTAAGCCAATTCGGAAGATCCCTGAGAGAACTTGAACGTCCAGATTTCTTTTGCTCGCTCGTATCAATGTCTTTAGCATGTCCTCATTAGCTAGATCCACCTTTCCCAAGTCCCAATCGTCGTCTAAATACAAATGACAAAACGCTAGTCGAATCAGCAAGAGCTCCTCCATCTGTACAGATTTTCGTCAAGCCTTGCAAACATGTAGTTTGCAATCAGAATGGGGAATGGCGGATCTAGAAGCAAATTCTCGTAATAAAAGTTTCATCTGCAATCTCAGACCAGAATCCTACGGTTTATTTGATAGGAGAACATTCCTAATATATCAGCTAACTGTCAGAAAGCTATACGGAAATCCTTATCCCCTAGGCTTAAACGTACGTAAGAGATAGTATGAGAAGTTCACAATTATAAGGTAGTGGATGAAACTAGGGATATCAATTTAGACCTGAGGCTCGAATCTCGATTCAGTCCAGCCCAAAATAGCAGGTTTGGAATTAAGTCCTTCGATCCGAAAAAAAATCAAGTTTCTGGACCGGGATCATATCGGGCTTCAAACCCGATTCAGATCGATCCGAAAGCCCGATATTTTTTTAAAAAAAATTCTTAACAAAAAAAATTTTGCAAAACAATTTTGAGTGGACTGGCCCAGCATGAAATATATAGGGCCGAGGTTCGGACTTGTTTATATAGGCCCACAGAAAATTGGACCGGTCCAAGCCGAAACCCGAAACCCGAAACCCTCACTCCTAGTGCGCGGGCTCGGACCGGTCGGATTGACACTCCTAGGTGAAACGAACGTTTTTGTTTTAGGTGAGATTATGGATTGGGGAGTATCTACAAAAAGTAAAAGTATTTTTGATAATCAACTCAAATAAATATAATTAATCACCAAAATTTATATTTTATTTCTTACATTTATTTGATTATTTGTATATTTTAAAATTTTAAAAGTTCCATAAATATAGCACAATTTGTACAAATGTACGATATAAATATCACAGTTTTCAAATTATTAAATAAATATTTCAATTTGATCAATTTGTACCAAATATAAATAAACTCGATTACGAAGTTCATCGATGATGAATTGACGATATCAATTTGGGCCACATAAATATCAAATTGTTATCGATTTGGCCCAAATTGATCAAATTGTGGGATTTATTTACCAATTTAAAAACCAAGATATTTATATACTACGATTAGATACATTATGGTGTTTTTTTAATTGAATTCTCTTTAAATTCTATGTAATGTGTATAAAATTCGTCCAAATAGAAATACAACCTACGACAATCATGTGATAGATACAAAAAAACAATGATTGGAAACTTATAGCCTAAGCTAGAAGAATATATCGTACAAAACAAAACAAGAAACAACACTATCGTGATTATGTATGTTTAAGATTTACCGTAACATATCTAGAATTCGGAAGGTGTAATGTAAATGTTATAAACTATACATTACACTCGTTAAATACACAAACAAGCATTTCCATATATCTATAATCAAATATAAAATCATTGACTAGATATCTACCACGAGATTTACAACGAAAACGAACTCGAAGGCATTTTGCATTTCGATAAAATCTCGGTGTGTTCTTGAGTAAATACATCAACCATCAATCGAACAATATAACAAAGCACAAGTCCATCGAAGCTTCCGAGAATTAGTATGTCTGATTTGAAAAAAAAACAAGGACATATATATATATATATATATATATATTCAGTGTAAGATCGAGCACCGATTCTGGAGTCGGAATGTGCCATGGGAAGGAGCTCGGCGAGCTTCCTGGACGAGAGCGGCACGAGCGGAGGAGATTCCAGTGGGGACCAAACACGAGTCAAAGGCCGAACAATCGATCCAATCTTTGAGGAACTCTTCTTGTCCCCATATCTCCGGGATCCAAACCCTCCCCGCAACTTTTCTTCTGTGTCTCTTTAGCCTCTCTCTCCCATTATCACCACCTCTTTCAGCTTCTTGATGTTCTTGTTCTTGAATTTCTTGGTCCTGTACTTGTTCTAGTCGTTGCTTCTCTGCCGATGACACGCTCTGTCTCTTGCCCGAATCCGGAGCTTCCGAGGGCAACGTCGTTAGGGTTTCCAAGCTCTGTTTCTTCTCCAAGTCAGAAGCTTCCATAAGCAATCTCATGTGTTCTTGGCTCTGTTCATTTGTTGTTGGTGATGATGATGACGTGCTTCGGTTGACCTTGTGGGTCATTTGAGAAGATTCGGCTTTGTTCATCGAGGTTGTAACAATGGCGGATTCTTTGAGATAAAACAAAACCAGTGATTCGAGTGATTTTCTCGAGATTATGTTTGTGGGTTTGTGAGGAAGTGAAAGGAGAATAGGGAAGAAGCAATTGGGTGGGGGTTTAGTCTACACGTCGACCAAAGTGATTCCTCTCTCTTTGGCGCTTCTGTCTCTTCTGTTTGTATGGTAAGTGACAAGTTTACGTGTCTCGTCATCACTTCAGATTTAATTGTTTTGGCTCTTAATTTTTCTTGTAATTGTAAGAACATCTTTTTTTTTCTCGAATTTATAATTTTTTATATATTTGATTATTTTATTACAATTTCTCCTAGCTATATTTAATATAACTGTATATGTAATATAGCTATTTATAAAAAAACGATGATGAGATTCTAATTTTTGGATCTTGATACGTTTGGAATCTTAAATCCAAGATTTTTAATAGAGTATCCAAATTATTACATTCAATTAGTGATGTAAAACGGGTTGGTTCGAAGTGGACTTGACCGACTCATCGCGAGTCAGCTCATTTTTTACTCAATCCATCCGGCCCGTTTTTTACGAACTAGAAAAATTCTTATCCAAACCAAATTGTCTGAACTATGAACCAACTCGTGAGCCAAATCATATTTATCTAATTATCTGAAAAATCTTTTAAAATTATATAAAAATAATAATAATTTTAAATCATAACAATAATTTAAAGTCATTCAAAATAACATAAAATATTTAACATAACAATTTATAAAACTATATCAAAATAAAAAAAATTAATAAAAAATCTGATATCACGTGAAACTGAATCTACGATTCATCCTTGTTTAGAATCCAGGTCGAGTCTAACATTCAATCTGATAAGTATGCAATTTTTTTTATAATCGAATATATAGAATCAAAATTCAGATTAATTTCGAAATCACAGACTATTCATGTAATTTGGAATATACAACCCCATACCGTCTTTTTTACGATGACACAATCTTTTTCATGTTATATTTTCAGCTTGTGTACTCTTGAATCTGTTTTATCTATTTTGATTTGTCTATGCCAATTCATTTTTATTTTTATAGATTTTGTTTATTCATTACACTTTCAAGAAATCTCATAAGATCTACGTCAAATTCTGGTCTGACAACACATTGTAACGGTGATTAGCACGAGGCACATTCATTTTGGCAGTTACTGGAGAACGTGCCACGTGTTGATATATTATTGGTTAATCTCCGATTATATTGCTATTGGGCTTTCTTGATGGGCCACAATAATTAGTTGCTAAAGTGTGAGACCATTAAGGATCTGCTTATGGGCTTTTATAAGTGATAACAAGATCCCACCAAGAACGACGTCGCTTTCATAATGCATCTGAATGCTTAATCACACTATCAGGTTCTTAATTTTTTTTAATTCCAATTACTAATCATAGTAAAATCATCCTCTTAAGCGATTCAGCGCATATGTTAGTTGCTCTTTGGGCTTATATTAATTGTAATGTACTAACGCATCTTGGTGGAACCCAATAAAAAAGAGTATAATTATTTTAGCAATTTGAGCCTTAACCCATCAAAATTATCCACATGGGCTATGCCTAAAAGATATAATTAAACGAATAACTTTCTACCAAGAGAAATAAAAACCGAATTATTTGAATACCTAAGCAAAAGAACACCCATATTATTATATTACAAACCAAAGATTATACATGGACATTATAAAAAAATATCCTCCATTTATTATTTTGAATTCAACTCATACTTTTTTTTTCAAATGTGACAATGAAATCAAAATTATAGTATAATTACATTAATTAAATTTATATTAATCACACCAAATCACCATAATTACAACTTATATATAATACTAATCAATTGGTAAAACCATTATAAATTTAATGTTATAACCAATGTGATTATCATTTTGGTCACATGATCATATCTTTATAAGGTTATTGATTGAATTCAAAATAGAAAATAGAAATATTTTTGATATATCCATGATTATACAGATACTAGTCTTGAAGAGGAAGGAAATGCCCACAAAAAACAGAAGGATTTTTTCCTTCCCTTGTAAAGAGGAGAACCAAAGATATAAGATCTCGGTCACTATATATATATATATATATATATATATATATATATATATGTGTGTGTGGATTTGTATGGGGGAATAATGCCATGGATTGTAGATATTTTTAGGTGCTGCGGGTGAGCATTTCTTGGTATCTCTTGAAAGACAAGAGCTTCTGCAACTTCATCTGCTTGTGAAACCTTGTAATGAACAAATCAGCGACATGATCGATCTCGTCCTCCAGACTGAAACTCTTTCCTTCTTCTTCCTTAGAGCTCCTCACCATCTCAATGATCGACCCTCCTCCTTGTTCTACTTCCTCCACGCCCTCAAACTCTTCCTCTCCTTCGAATAACGTGTGCCTCAAGTCAGGGTAGTTATCATCATCATCATCATGATCGATGGCGCGTGTGATGCTTGAACATGGTGCTGCATTGTAGAGGATGATTGCCTTGCTATCATCGTCCTCTACGTCGTCTTGTTCGTGCCTGTTGTGGCCCAGGAGGCTGTGGATCTTGTCGGAGAATGATGAACAGAAGGCGAGTTTCTTGTGTTTCATGAGAGACAGCACGAGTAGACGTGCCTTGAAGGCGTTCGTCTTGTCCTTGATCGCCATTGATTTAGCTTTCGTTATGGAACTCAGTAACGTGAACATTCGTTTCAACAAGGCGGTAGCTTTCTTCATGTTTCTTTGCCCGATGGATGGAATCACAGATCTCAAGAACAATCAAGGGTTCCTTTTACTTAGCCAAAAAACGAAGATATATGTAGAGAAGGATGATAGAGATAAAGGTAAAACCAAAATGTTAAGGAAGCTAAGAAGCTTTGAGATTAGGATTTTTGTTTAACATGAAAAGGAACGGTGGAAGTGAGAGCGTTCATGGAATTATATAGAAGTACGACCATACATACAATACATACATATACAATAAATAAATGTATATTGATCATCGATGTGATTGAGTGGGGTGGTGAGATTAACTGCGTAATCGTTTACTTAATCGTGCAGAAAGCTCTTCCCAGTTTGCCACGTGGAGAGAGCCCATTGGATGTGGTGGATCATTACTCTTTTAACTTTAGCCATGTTCAAGACCGTTACTTTAATCAAATGGCAACAAAAGTACGTGTCCACTTACCATATAGTTTGGTTTTTGTGTAAATTATTGATCGAAGATATATATATATATATATATATATATATATATATATATTACTTAATGTATTATATATGATATATAGCCAAAATATTAAATATATCAGCTTTGTTGACGATCCAATTAAACTGTGTCGTGAATTTGGTAGTCCATTAAATTAAACCTCCAGGAGAGGGCTAAATTGTGAATTTAAATATCTGGGGTACAATTAAAATTCTAAGGAGAAAAGAGGACCAAAATTGAAAGACTCGAAGACTTCACACGTAGTACCATCGTCCTCGCGATGGTTGCAACTATAACAGTTGCTGAAATACCACGGCGAACCAGGAACTACCGAGTCAGCAAACACGAACTCGCTCACCGACTCGTCGTGACTCGTCTCCAAACTCGGCAACTCGACTATCTCGCTCAGCTCCGACGACGACGACGTAGACGCCTCCGACGAGACCGAAGGCGGAGACTGGATTTCTACGGCGGCGGCGGAGAAATCCATACCGGCAGCGATGGCGGCGGCGGCTTGAACGTCACGGGGAGAGTTCGAGGCCGGTCGGGGGAGGAAAGCGGAGAGCTCCGGGAAGTTGAGGACGGCGGAGGAGCCTTTGACGGTCAACGCCGCCGCGTCATGAGCCCGTATATATATATATATATATTACTTAATTTGTAACCCCACCCAATGGGTTATTTGACGAAAAATTCACGTGAACTTGGTGCTTCAAAAAGCATATATGACGTATAAATTCAATTTCCAATGAAAATAAAATAATATAATTCGAATCGCACACACGCACACATATATACGAGAATTAAAAATAAAAAACATCACATATACAGTTCATGAAATTGGAACTAACAGTCCGACGCAAATTGATAATGTGCTGATTTCAATTAATGGGAAGAGATTATAATATATATTATATAATACGGATATTGTTATTCATAGCATTCAAACAGACTCCGTACGTTCCCCCTCTCTTTTTATTTTGGTCGATTTCATTATCTTCCCCATTTCTAATAGCATTTTCTAATCAATCCACTTCGAATCTTGATTTTCTCATTTTCTCTTCCGTTTTACGATTGATCTTTCCTTTTGAAAAATAAAAAAAAAACGATAAAAATGGGGATATCTTTCGCTACGAAAGCAATTCCACAACAAAGGAATCACAAAAGAAAAAGGCAGCTAGGTAAAAAAAAAACATTTGAAAAAGGACCAAAAATCGTAAAGTGAAATTTCTTGGCAAAGGGTGATTTGAATTGCATAAAGGAGAAGATGCTCTCACGAAGAGAAAGTTGCAGGTTATGAAAGATGGTGGAAGGTCCAATTTATTATTATATTCCACATTTGTAACAAAATAAAATCGCTCCAATTGTTTTCAGTTGCTTCACAAAGGAAAACGAAGGCAAAAAAAAAAAAAAAGCTTAAAAGCGATCTTGTAATTTCGTAAAATTGGCACGAACATGTGTCGTGTCGCTGCGAAATTTCTTGTTGATTTCATCATCTAGACGATTCTTGTTTTGGTCGGTCAACGTGTCGAATCGAGCGAATAGACGCCATGTGTTGGCAACTCCACGTGTCATTCTCCTGTTGGCCAGTGCCTGTCTGACCAATTTCCTTGTAATTTATAAAAAAAAGGCCTTTAGAGTTTAGACTAATATCTTGAATACCGATACTTTAAAAAAAAACTAATTAGTCAAATTCCAGCTGAAATTAAAAAGAAAATAAAACAATCTAAACAGTTAAATGAATATTAAAATTTATTAGAAAAATAAAAGTTGTTGAATTAAAAAAATAGAATCTATGGATTCCAAGTTTCATATGGATTGAGTGTTGAATAGTGGATATAAGTTCAGAGCAAAATAGTATGGATCATATTCCAAGTGGTTAGAGTATTTGTCCACTTTTAAATAATTTCTTTATAGATATGTTTTACGCGTTTTTTTTGTTATTATCCATATAAATGCAAGACTTGCTTTTTAAAAAAATGGTGAAAAAAATGAAAATAAAATAAAAACATCATACAAATAGTAGAAATACTCGGAATCATATTTAATTGGGACTCCTCTCTGAAAGCTTAGCCCAAATCGAAGAGCACATATAGAGGCCTAATAAAATTAATTTAGATCTAAAGGGCCTAAATTTGTTTCCTTTATTGGACTTCCAAATATGTGTGAGCAAAGAAGGAAATACTTTGTTTCCAATAAGATTGTCAATTTAGTTTAGAAGCCCAAAGTTCGATATGTGTACATTAAAAAAATGTCGGATTTCAAATCTAAATTTTTCCGTCCAAATTTTTTTTTTTTGGATTTTGAGTTGGGTTCAAATCAGGGGTGGACGTTTCGGGAAACGGTTCGGACTCGAGACGGAATGGATCGGTTCGGTTCTTTCGATTTTACAAAAATAGGTACCAATCAGGTTTTTTTATTGTATTCGGTTCGGTTCAGTTCGGTTTTGGGTTTTATTAAAAAAAATTAGATTTTTTTTAAAAATATTCGATTTTTCGGGATTTTTAAAATTCGGTTCGGTTCGGTTTAGTTTCAGAAATATTCGGTTCTCTAAAAATGGTACCGTTCGGGAAATAACAGCGGTTTCGGGTTGGAAAAAATACCGTTTTAACGGTTCGGTTCGATCTGGTTCCGAAGAACCGAACCGAAACGCCCAGTACTAATTCAAATAGGTCGAAAGCACGATAATTTTTTTTTAAAAAGTTAATAAAGAAAAGTTCACAAAAATTGAGCGGGCTAGCCCGATTCGACCCAAATACTATAGAATCGTCAAACTTAAAAAATCGGGTTGGCCCAAACCCAAGTCTAAAACTCTCTAACTGAATACGGAGCCGGACCGAATGAGGCCGGCCCGGCCTGGTTGATACATTGGTTTCCAATTCCTTCGGTCAAATTGAGAAGTCAAAGTTTAAAAAGAGGTTTCCAAAAATACAACAGAAGAAAATATCTTGCAATGCTATTATGCTAATATAATTATTTTAGAAACATTGTATCTTCCGAAATAGGCTCAGCATTTAATATATTACCATGGCAATATTATTATTATAGTAACACTGTATCTACCGAAATAAGCTTAGCATTTATAATTTTTCTTTTAAAAAATTATTATTCTTTTAAACCTTGTATTAAAAAGGTTAGATACAAATATTGTCTATCACCCGTATGTATATTATATATGTATACAGTACCCGATTTTGAATCGTAACCATACAGTGAATAAAATAAAAATTAAAAAGAACACAGGAAGAAGTAGAGGAGGAAAAACAAAAGGAATGGCTGCGGCGGGGATTCTCCTGAACAATATCTCACAATCCCAGCTTCTGCGCCCAGCTTCTTCTTCTTCTTCTCCACGAAGCAGACCTGTTCGAGCCCTAGTCATGGTCAAAGCCTCTTCAGAACCGTCGGAGACCGCTTCCGTGTCGACGAGCACCAAAGAGGAACCAGGAGCCGTGTTCGCTGCTCCCTCCGGATTCAGTCCACCGGACCCGAAGCCCTTCGCCATTAAATCCGGAAAAACCTTGGACGTATTGGGTGCTTCCCTCGGATTGCTTTTCCGATTCGCCACTGGGGTTTTCGTTTCTGGGTATTGTCCTGATTTGGCTCTCTTGCGCATTTCCTTCTTCATTTCATGTAGTGTTTATTCGCTTTTTTTTTTGTTCTCTCCTTGTCTGTGGAAATTCTGGTTCTTCTGAGCTCGGTTTGATCTCTTCATAGTCATAATACGCATATATGTATCTGCTTCTACGTCCGGGAAATGACGTTTTCATTTCAGGCTATTGCTCTGGATTCGCTCTCTTGCTCATTGCCTTCTTTATTGGACGATTGTGTTGTTTATATTATATCCTTTGATCTGCTCCTTTTTTGTTTTCGGAAATTCTGACCTTTGAAGCTTGATTTGGTATGTGCATAGTCATCCAATGGGTTTGGTTGAGGTAACTGTGTAAGTTTACATGATCCTTCCATGTGTTCTTGTACTTGAGCAGGTATTCTGCGTCTTTTGTGTCCAAGGATGAGATTCCGGCCGACCAATATGCTTTAAAATTAGGGGGTAACCACTGAAAACCTTAAATTTCTTCCTGACTTTTGTGGGTTAGATATTCGGCCATAATATGGATCATACTGGTTATACTATGTTATGTGTAGGTCGCGCGGTAAAGGAAACTGCAAAGTTGGGCCCTCGCCCGGAGAAACCTATTGAGATATACGAGTTTGAGAGGTAAGCTCTATCTACTATTATCGTTGTTTGGCCATACATTTAGACTCATTTTTGTGTAATCCTATCTCATTTTCCTTTCTAAGTCCATTGACACTTAATGTGTTAATCCTTTTCCATTGCACATGTTGTGATTGCTGCTGCTTGATTTAGCTGCCCTTTCTGCCGGAAGGTAACTCTTTATTCTTTATATAACTAAAGCATTAGCTAAGGTTCTCCTGCCCATACGATTTATTCGTTGATGTGTTTGGATCAGTGCCATATGGTCAACTATGTGTTTGGGTTTTGCAGGTTAGAGAAATTGTTGCTGTTTTGGACCTCGACATTCTGTTCTATCCTTGCCCAAAAGGAGGTCCAAATTTCCGTCCAAAGGTTGTTCAGATGGGTGGAAAACAGCAGTTTCCC